CTTACCTAGAACTGACATGGAGTTTTTCCAGCCATTCACCTTACCAGAGTTGATAGCCCCATCTATGAAACCTTTCATCCAGACAGTGACCTCCTTTGATACCAACACAGTCGCCCTGCTATTCTCTCTGATTTTCATTGCATCCTCACCTTTGATCCTTTCCTCTTCGAACTTGAAAGTCTTGGCTTCGATCGACACCTCAAATCCTCCAAGTATGTCCAAGCCCCTTTGCGCTAGCCTCCCCGCCCTACCTTGCCCAATTTGTTTATTGTTTATTTATGATATTTTTTTTATTATTTTTATTAGAACAATTTGTCTTTCTCTGTCATGCACTCCTCTTATCCTGAACCTACAAACAGGGGAATCATCCCCAACTCCTTCATATCTTCTTTGTTCATATCCTCTCTCACCATATCTTTTATTGTCTTACTTTTATTTATACATATTCTATATGTGATTAATGAGTTCTGATGATCAAAAAAATACATTGGCAATCAATCCAGGTAAATTCAATGTCCTAAGTGTCAATCTGGAGAGCCATAGATGGTTTAGACCGATTTGTAGAACAAAAACAATCATTCAAAGTCGAAAGCAGAGTATAGGCAACACATAACATGGGCCTTAAACATTACGAGCATGACTGATAAAGCAACAAACATTACAGACCTTAAAAATTCAGAAGGCCATTACATTCTAACCGGCTTCAATCTATAGCAGAAAGAGTAGAAACGAGTCAAATAAATCAGCATGTCATTGGCATCATTAGTATCAACGGAGATATCGGAACGATGGCAGGCAATCAGATAAATTCATGGTACTCTTGTCAAGCTCCTAAATAGATGATGACTAGGGAATGAAAGGAACAAGTCTGCACATTTCCCTTGTCGGCCCTTGAGGGCATGATCCTTCTTGACCGTAATAAGGCCCCACATTCTTCTTCGTAGGGACCTTGTGTATGTGCTACCACAGGTTGTGCTGAATAATTCTTGGGGACTTGGTTGGTATTTTGGTAAGTTAATTCTGGAAAGGGGATGGCAGAAGGGCTTTGGGATGGAAAGTTAATGGGTCTGAGAGGCGGACGGTGGGGTGATACTGGGCAATATTGATTTTTGGACAAAGGGTAAGAAAAAATGAGAGGGGGCCTTGTGGGCTCTATGGCGAGGACAAAAGAATCAAGCTGGGTTATTGGATTGCTCAGGGTGATGGAATTCTCCATAGGGACTATAACTTCCTTGGGATCAACAAAGGTCTCCTATCTAGATTCTATGAAGTTGTTGGATGAGCTAGGACCGGCTCTGTGATCAAGTAGAGGATTTTGTGTTATTCCCATACCTTGCTGTAAAGGATGGTCCGGTACTAGATTAAAGGTAATCAGGTGCTGATCAATCAAATCTTGGATAGCAAATCTTAATGGCAACAACAACCTGTAGTGTGATCAAGTCCTTGGTGAAAAGCGCAGTACGTGTTCTCATCATAATTCCTTGGCTTGGGCTCTAGGATGGTCTCCATTTCAACGGCTTCAAATACCCCTCTTGGACCAAGGTGGGCAACAACTGGGAGTGGGGGTTTGGTATTTGGGTAAGCTCTCTCACTTCCCTGCGGGGGTGAGAGGTAGTTGGGGGATAGGTGACCTGGGGGGGGGTACATTGTACCTGGGAGGAGGATACTGGGGTTTACTGGTGGTGTAGGTTGGTAGGGCGTCGTTGGGTGAGGTTGTTGTGGTTGAGGCGGGACGTTCATCACAAGGGGTGGTCTGATAGGTGAAGGGTTGGGTTGAACAGCGGCTATGAAATTAGTTTGGGGAAAGGTAGTAGGTAGAGTAGCTTCATGGGTGGAGATTGTATTTACTCCTAGGGGTGTAAACGGATCGAATTCGAATCGGATCAAGAAATATCCGATTTCGATTCTGAGTAGAAAATCCGATATTCGAATTCGATTCGATATTCGACGGATATTGAAAATTAATATCCGAATTCGAATTCGATTTGATTCAAATTCGATTAAAGATGATGTAGAAAAGTTGAAAGAAGAGATGAGGCAAGTAAAAGGGGTCCACAATTTGGGTTTTATAGATTTTAAGGAGTTATGCCTCTACCCTGATGCCAAGCTGCCAGAAAAGTTCAAAATTCCCGATTTCAAGAAATATGATGGGAAGGGATGCCCCCAAACTCACTTGAAATTTTTTTTGTGGAGACATGTTTCAATATGGCTCTGATGAGAAGTTGCTGATCCAGATGTTTCAGAAAAGTTTGACGTGTAGTGCAAGGACATGGTTAGCAAATTTGGAAGAGGAAAAGAAAAGGTCATGGAAAAAGGTGTCAGAGGCTTTTCTAGACATTTTTTCCTACAATATGGAACTGGTCTCAGACTGAACGGATCTTGAATTGATGAGCCAGAAATATGGGGAATCCTTCCTAGATTATTATGCTTACCAATGGCGCGAAGTGGCGGCCAAACTCGGCCATTCCATGCCTAAAGAAGAAATGGTTAGGACCTTCATCAAAACGGTAAAGGATCCATATCACACATTATTGGTGGCCCAACCGTTGAGAAACTTTAGTGATGTTGTCAGAGGTTCCGTAAAGATAGAGGAGTCGGTGCGTCACAGACACATGAATCCAGTAATAGCTGGCACAGGAAGCTCACCTACTCCTGGACCAAGGAGACCCTCGCTTAAACCAAAGCCGGACACTGGAGTAAATACAATCTCCACCCATGGAGCTACTCTGCCTGTTACCTTTCCCCAATCTTTTCTGTTTTTTAATCAACTGCAAAATATTTTTGTTTTGACAAATACAAATATGAAAAGTGCAAAACCTTGTATAACATTGTAGGCATGATGAATTTCTCCCTAGTTTAAGCATCCATAATGTGAGATACAATTTTGCATGGGTTTGCATGCTCTGACACATGTTTGTAATGTTCAGCATTGTGTCCATATAGGTTGTATTGTCCACTTTTGACTGAACACTGGCCATGTATGATTTAACTGGATGGTATAGTCTTTTTGCCATCTCTAGTGTGGTCCCAAGCCCAAGTCCTGTAGCTCCAGCAACATGGTGGATATGCCTTTTATCATTGAACATCTATATATCTGTTTCAAGTATGTTGGGGGGGGGGCGGGAATCTGATCTTTGATCCTCCTTAATTTTGAGTCTTTTTCGGTAAGAGAAAGGCAACCATGCATACACAACTTAACTTAACTCAATCCAGCCTTGATCTCAATTATTTGCGGTTTGCTACAGAATCCTATTCTGTTCTTTCAAGAGCCATTATTTTTTTTTTTCAAAGTCTGGTCCTTAGATAAATTCTTTCCACTTCATCCTACACTTTCTTTGGTAGTCCATGCATGCACAGCTCATACATGTTGGTATTTTTCCACTATGTTAATCAATCCTTTTGTGTATTTATGATCATGGGAATCATTGACTCAGCCGCAAATTTGACATCTAATTGTTGCATTAAGTGGGCCATGTATTTGATATAAGAGACCGATTTGTTTTTGGTGACTGTCCATCCTTTTCCAGTTCTTGGAAAGATGATATATTTTTATCTTTTTCCTTTTTCATCTCAGTTAATTACTGTTTCTTGTTGTCATTTAATAGATAACTGAGATCTGGATTTTTCAAGAGGCACTATGTGATTGGTCTTTCTTGCAGGTGTATGCTCTTGGAGGTTTCATGGTTCTAAGGTGGATATGGGCTAGGTGGAAGGAGAGGAGGGCTAAAGATGATTCGTCAGGTGAACCCTCCCCTGGAGATGACGGATATCTCTAGTCTCTACGCATGAGTGGTCATCATTTGCTGTGAGTCATCAATGTATGCTTTGCTAACTAAGGGAATCCCACCCAACAATTTGTCTCTTTTCACATCTGGTTTGTAAGGCCGGATTTAGGGTAGTTGAGCTGGTGTTGAACTTTTTCTAGTGGTATTGATTTTAGCTCAACTCACCTATGCAAGAGGAAATTCAAAGTTAAGAAGCAGCAATCTTTTCTTTGTTCTGAGTCAACGGTGTATGCTATTGCTATGTTCACTAGGGAATCCTGCCCAAAAAACTGACTCTTTTTCACCCATGAAGTGTGGCCATGTGATAGATGCTGTATACATGGGTCCCTATACGGCTTTCCTTGTTTGCTTTTTCCAGATCGTTCTGGAGCTTGTTTCTTTCTATGCTTCTTGTTCATAGGGCTGGTGGTAGGGTAGTTGGACTCATCCACCATTCCATCCAAAAGGAAGATCAAAGTTGAGAAGCAGCAAGCCAGCAATCTTTTCTTTGTTGACGCTTGTTGTCCCTCTCAAATCCTAACTGATACCTCTCCAATTTTTTGGTTAAGTGCGGGGCATCTTGTATGGTGGACCCAAAACTACTACTCAGGCGTCAAGGTGGTTGGAGAAGTCAAAGAGTCCAGTTTGGCTTTTTCCATGATTCCTCGAGTGAGTCACATAGTTCTATTTACAGAGTCGCTGTCTCTTTCTTTCCATCTGTTAGTATGACAGAAACCCAGGGAGCTTTTCTGCGAATTTTCTTTCTCTTGCTTTCCTTTTGGCTCCACTCCACATGGAGGCTGGACAAGGTTTCTAGAATTAGAAGGGAAGGCAACATGGATGTACTAGGCCATTTGTCCATGCCGTTGCTTGGAACGGTTTTATGCCAAGGCCGTTCTTAGGGCCTATTTGGGAGGGCTGAAATTGATCTGCTTTTACTGAGCCATTTTGAATTTTCAAGAAGCTATTAAAAGAAACTTAACCTGAAACACAATCAACCAGCGGGTTGTTCTTGTTCAGCCACTTTTTGGACCTTGCGGGTTGTTTGACTATGATGCCAGAAAGGCCTGGCATGATACCGAAAAGACTTGTAACCAATCATAAAAGTGGTAAACAATAAGGTGGGTGGGTTTTCATCAAAATTCAAGCCTTTCCGCCAAGGTTCAAAATATTGATACGGGCGTATCGGGCGATATCAATATTCTTTTTTTAATTTTTTTTCAAAACCGATTCAGGGGGCCGGTTTAAGGCTCCTCCACCCCTTGAACCTGTCAGAACCCCAATAGACCCTCTGTAGGGGCGTATCGAGGAGTTCCTGGAACGATATGTATCGGCCAATACGGGCCGATATGTGTTGATATTTTGAACCTTTCTTTCCACTATCATGTCTTTCTGACATATATTTTTCCTTTGTTTATAAAGTTATAAGCTCCAGTGGAGCCCATTTTACAAAGTCATAATCCGCAATGTAAAAGCCCTCTGAAATTGGCACTTAATGGTCGGGGTACAAGTTGGGTTGGATTAGGTGCATTTGCAGTCAACCCTAATCCATCCTGAGGGTCAGTCTGGAAGGAGTACAAATACAAATTTGTAAAGTGTAAAACCTTGTATTTTGTATGTATTTGCATAGTATATATTTGTATTTGTACTATCAAACTGAGCTTGAGTTGTTGAACCCCAACTCTAACCATGAACATACAATTTCTTCAATTCTATTTGGTTTCTTTGAAAAGAAATGCTCGTACTCTTTTAACATTTTTAAACTTAAGATGGGCCCATCAAGGTTGATCATATATAGATTATGAGGATACACTTATCGGTCTTTTAGAGTATGATACTTAGGCCATGTTTGGGAGTGCTTATGTTAAAAATAAGTGCTTATTCGAATAAGCACTTATTTGCATTTGACACTTGGTTCATTTTGGGCGTTTGGTGGTCTTTTTCTTCAATAAGCACTTAAATAAGCAATTGTGATTCTTTTGTCCTTTATTTTTTTTTTTCAAATTTTCAAAACATCCAATCTAAACTGAATGAATAAAAGTACTTTGATAGAAGTGCTTTCATCCATAAAATTATTTTTGTAAAAGTGTTTTTGTAGAAGTGCTTTTATAAAAGTACTTTCATAAAAGTATTTTTATAAAAATGCTTTCGTAAAAGTATAAAACTATTTTCATGTAAAAGTACTTTTATAAAAGTGTTTATAGAAAAGTACTTTTGTTCATAAAATTACTTTTATAAAAGCGCCTTTGTAAAATTGCTTTTGTAAAAGGATATAATTGGTATTCTGGAAATTTACCATGGATAATTTTGGGAGTAAAAATTTGAATAAGTGCTTATTGTATGTGCACTTAAAAAAAGCTAGAAATTTGGGCTTAAAAAATAAGCCCTTATTTTTAAAATAAGCACTTATTTCGGGTTTATTTCCCAAACACCAATAAGTGCTTAATGGTGTGGTCCCCACCCAAATAAGCACTTATTTTTAAGCACTCTCAAACATGGCCTTAGGTTGATTTGAGAGGGCTTCTATCTTAACTGCTACAGAGGAGTTACCTAAGATGAGATAGGATTAGCTAAATATAGTAGCTGTTCAGCAGGCTGTGGAACCAACAATCCACACCAGTCATAAAATACATGGGGCCCACAATCATTCAATCTCTTAGTGTGGGGCCTATGTATTTTATCACTGGCACGGGGCATTATCATTGGTTCCACAGATTGCTACACAACTAAAGCATTTAGTTAATCTAAATTCACCTAAGAAAGCTTCACTAAATACAGGTTAATGACTTTCTAGGTTTCTTAGCTCATGTAACAGTAGAAGCTGCTGCGTGAGAGCCCTCCCAAATGGGTATTAGGCTTAGTTTGGGAAGAGCAAGGTTTAAAATTTCGATATGATACGCCTGATACGGGGTGTATCCTATCGTATCTTTGAAAAACAGATAAGGATACACATGGAAATGGGTGTCTTGTCTTTTGTCATGTGTATCGGACCATATCGGGGGCGTATTGGTAACATATCGACAACAAAAGATGCGACCAAAAATTGAAAAAAAAAGGTGGGAAGGCAAGTTTATTTTCCTTGAAATAAGCATTCTTTCACCCCCAAATGACTCTAAAACTCCAAACCGCATTCCTAGAGTGTTAGATTTGCAAAAATTTGCAAGAAATAAGTATGAATCGTTAATTTTTTTTTTCAAAATTTTATAATATCTTGTGATTTCTTTTTTTCTTGAATGTTAAATTTATGTTGATCTACATTTCTTACATTCAAAATCATAAATTTTTTGTGTTATCAATAGATTTATGGAAATTTTATGAAGATATTTGGGGAAAATATAAATTAACATAAAATTTGAAAATGTAATTTTTTCTCTGTCTATAAAGACTAGATATGTTTTAGATTTATGGATTTATCTATCATATCCATAGAGCAATTGGACTTTCTTCTTTAATTTTTTTTTTGATTTTTTTATATTTTTAGAATTAAAAAAAAATAATTAATTATATTCTATCATTTGATCACAATGATTGAATATATTATAATTCTATGGATGATCTATCATATCCACAAAGCAATTGATATTTCTTCTTTAATAACTATTTTTTGAATACATTATATAATGTTTATTTATTTATTTATAATTTTTGGAAATAAATAAAAAATAATTATTATATAAAAATAAATAATTATTAATTGTATTTTCACTTAGAAGTTGTGTCAATGAACCGTTTTGGGTTGGACCTTGTGCAAGTCAAAATCAATTTGGATGGATTGGGCAGACCTATAAGTAGACCTGTTCATGGGCCGGGCTCGGGCCGAGCTTTTACTCTTCATTAACAATTTTTTTTTAGGCCCGAGCCCAAGCTCGGCCCAACCAATGAGCCTACAACTTGGGCCCGAGCCCAACCCTCATAAAAAGCCCGAAGCCCGGTCCCGAGCCTGAAGCCCGACCTAACAAAATGATTATCCCTTGTTAGGTTGAGCTCGTGGTGATAGCAACGTTCAACAGCCCGACCCTCAACAGACGTTCAATGTATTACCCCTTCAAACAGGTCGCTTTCAGCTCATGGTGATAGCAATAGAGGTAGAATGCATAGAATTGGTTCTGTAGATATAATGGAGACATGGGCTAGTCAGTAGAAGGCAAAAAAACTCTACATAAAATTTAATGGTTTTTGGAAATAAATTGCAAACTTACCGTTGGAGAGAGAGACAGAGAGAGGAAGAAGCCCCAATCTGCGTAGAGTCTATATTGCAAACTTACCTCAATATCCTGCTCATGAAGTATGCGCATCCCTTCAATAATTTCATGCAGTACACTGAGAGGGATCCCATGATTCACTACCTAAAAGAAGCTCCATATCTCGGAAGCATGCCACACTTTTTTGACAATCTCCTCACGAAGTAAAGGGTCTTCATCGACACCTTTCATTTTTATGACTGGAACCCCAACGTCAACTGAGAAAGGTTAGTCGAGTTTAAGGAATAGGGATTTAGAGTTTTAAAACTAGTCGGGCCAGGCTTTTTTGACAAATCACGAGCCCAGCTCGAAAAATAATTGAACTGGGCTTTTAGGCCCGATGTCAAGCCCGCAGGCTAAAAATCATGTTCAAGCTTGGCCAGGGGCCGGACCGGGCGATCAAGCTACCCGACTCATGAACATGTCTACCTTTAAGTCATTGAATTGGACCAGTCTAATGTATTTACTGGATTGGATTGGATCTAATCCATCTGTAATGGATTTATATTGGATATGGTCAGATTGAATCAATATCCAGTCCATTGAAGATAGGAATATAAGTGCCAATGGATCAGATTGGATTGAAACCAATCTAAATTAAAACCAATTTGAACAAATTGGACTGGTCCAAAATGATCGAGTATTCATTGAATTGGACTAGACCTGACCCATCTATAACAGATTCATATTGGACGGGATTGGATTGGGCCAAATCCGGTCCAATTGACACCCCTACTTAAAAGGTGCCTAGTCAAAGGAAAATGGTTACCCTGTCCCACAACATACCAATTTGAGGAATAATAGAAGGAATATTTATTGTTATCTTTCCTATTTGGTCGAAGTTGTGGACTGAAGCATCCGTGTGGAGCTAGCTAGCAAAGAAACAAGAATTTAGAACAAGCACAGTCATGCTTTAATGCAGCACCCCCCTAGCCCTAAGGGCTAAGGCCGGAATAAGGTCAATGAACCCAGTATCCTAGACGACGCTGCATGAGTTTGTACCTTTTTATTGGGACATCTCACACTTCGGAGGTGATGCTTTTAACTGTTGGAGAGGACATTGGTCCTATTAAGGGGGATCCAGGCAATCCACCTAGGAATCAATTCCAATCAAATGCCTTTCAAATGTAAAGAGAATTCTCTTTTTCCCATAAAAACGTCTTTCCTGAGACGTTTATGTTCAAAAGAATTTTATTTCACAAAACCCAAAACCAACAGTACACAGATTGGATATAGACAATTAAGGGAGAAACATAATAGAGAGAGAGGAGAAAAGGGAGTCCATATATTAGACTCTAGTTTATAATTTACGTATTGCAGATGTGGCCAACATTAGAAACAAAACCACAAAGAACGAGCTTTTCAAGAGATCTTGTGTCTAAGATGAGAATCCTTATGAAGATAATGAAAATAGTAATAGAAAGGGGTATTTACTTCTGAGGTTTCAGAGCTAGTTGGAAAAAGAGAAGAGCTACATGACAATATGCTTTGGACTTTGTATTTGGAGACAGCCAAAAACCGAAGAAGATCTAGGGTACCCCTGTCCTTAAGATTGATACTATATTACTATTCTTGTTTTATTGTTAGGGTTATGCTGCTTCATGTCACATAGGGAGAGGGAGTTGTTGAACCATCAAGGGATTTAACTATAAAAATGTCTAGAAAACATTGAGAGTGGTTTTGCCACATGGCTATCTCTAGGACGGGTATTAACATTTGAAAATGGCTTTTGTTCTACATCCTTATATTTGACATTTTGGAGGGTTTAAAAACCAATATGTATCGTTAATATATATCATGTATTGCAATATTTTAAACCTTGTTAGTGAAAAAGGTGAAAAACGCAAAGGCCCCGTCTAGTGCATCTTTCTATGTGGGATGTCGGTTTTTTAGAAGCCCGGTAGCTCGCATTTGCATCTCTCTCCGTTTGGTTGGAAGAAGATCTTTTTGTTGAAAGACTGTATCCAAAAAAAATGCGAGAAGTTCAATTTGAGCTTATTTCAGAAAGTTATAATTGGAGTTTCTCGCCTTTTTGTTTTTCTTGAGTTTTGTCTTTGCGCAAATAGATGCATCTCCAATCAAATAATTTATAAACTGCCAAAATCTTTATATAAAAGCTCACAATGTCTTTTGACTATCAGATCTTCCAAAAAATCTTTTAAAAAGACTTACCAAATGACACAAAGTCTTAACCCCAAAAGGAGGAAAGCTAGCTAGTTATAACCGAAACATTTCAGAGTAAAAAATTTGAGCCCTAAGATTGTTTATTTAAAAACATGTTCCTAGCAATACAATTATACACCACCTTCTTTGTTGTTTGTTGAAGTAAATGGACAATGTTGAATCTTGATTAGCTAGTTTAGGAGTTGGAAAAAGGGTTAACAACATGAGGGCTGTCCATCCAACAGATGCTCTGAATTGGCCACTTCAATCAGGTTTCGAGTCACTGCATGGAGTACCCACTTCTTTCTGGTAACAGAGCTGCCCCGTGCACACCCTCTATTTTCCTGTCGCTTTGTACTAGAATTTGACCACCTGAGATTCTCTGATCAGAGCCTTCCTGCAAGGCTTGCCGCCTCGGTAGCTAGCACTCTAGCAGTCCGTTCTTTTGGTGTTTTCATTTGGACAGTGGGAAAAGGATGCAGACAAGCTTTAAAGAGAAATGTTTTTCATGGGACCCATCACTCAAAAGCAATGTTTTAGGTGGGACCCATCATATACCTTGTGCTGGTTCTGATTGGTCTAAGGACCATGTCATGTTTGGGAGTGTTTTATCTTTAATCACTTATTTGAATAAATACTTATTTTAGGTGGGGACCACATGTTACTTGCTGTTTGGGGGAAAAAAACTGAATAAATAGTAATTGTTCTCAAAAAAGTAAGCCTGTTTTGATGGATACAGAGTTTTTGGCTTATTTTTAAGCGCTTTTCAATCCGTATTTATCATGGTTTTTTAAAACCGACCCGGAGACCGGTTCCCAAATCAGTCAAGGGTCTGGTTATCGGGTCGAACGGTCGGCCTGTACTGACAAAAAAAATAAAAAAGATAAAAATATAAAATGGTCAAAACCATTCGAACGGTTAATCGCCCGAGTCAGCAGTTTGTTGATCAAAATCAACGGTTTTTTGAGAAATCTCAATTTTAGGGAAAAATGAAACCGATCACCTGACAGAATCCCAGTTTTTTCAGTTCAGTCCGGTTTTGAAAACCATGGTATTTATTGTATTTCTGACCTGTTTTTAACTCACTACATAATTTTCAAAAAACCTATACCACCCCATTTGAAATAAACGTTTTGTCAAATTTCACTAAACAAGATAAACACTTGAATCCGAATTTGCTCCTCATACACCCCATCTCACACCAATCTCACAACCCTTTCAGTTGTGCATTGAGAACATTTTCCATATTTAATTTTATCATTTATAACTTTATAGCAAGATGTTCCCAATACACAATACTGCAACGTATTGTGAGATTGGTGTGAGGTGCGTTCTTTAGGAAGCAAATCCAATTTGTAAATAGTAAGCACTTATTTATCCACTAAGAATGTTCTCAATACACAGCAGGAATGTGCTATGAAACGTTGTAGGGGCACAGATGTAAACTCCCATTAAGCACTCTTAAAAAGGGGAAATGAGCAAAGAAAAGGGAATTTGGATCTCTACCCACGAGAATTCACTATAATTATAATTTGGAAATATCTCCCTGAAGATATTCTCAATGTACAGCTATAATAAGGTGTGAATAGGAATCTTGTGGATAGGAGATCTGGATTCTTTCAATAAAAAGAGCCATCTGCCTTCTGGTGCCAAGGCCCAGATTGGTTTCCATGAGCCTATACGGCTATTACTGTTATGAGGTGAGCCTAGTTGTTAATGTATCAGAAGGATCTCCCGGCCCACCACGATCTCATGAATTGCTGGCCCAATAGCCTACCACGCGTCTTGATCATAGGTATGTTGGCTCATGTCATCATGAAAAGAAGAAGAAGAAGAAACCCGGCAAAACAGAATAATAAAGGCCCAGACTCCAGAGGAAGAGAGGAGAGACATGAATGATGATGATGGGCTCGATCATTGCAAAGCGTGCTCGTCTTCTTCATGAGTCACCCACCAGGCACCAGTTGATGCTGTCTGTATTGCAATTGGTCTCCAGTCAGAAACTCAGAAATCAGAATCCTCCCCGCATGAATCCTACCGAACACGCCCCATTTTGGGTCTGTGGAATATCATTATTTTAAGGAAAGCTTAGTTGTTTTTCCGGTGGTGGGTGGTTGTTGGTGTTGTTTTCCATATGTGTGGGTGGCAATTGGCATCCCCCACATTCACAGGCAGTCGTCACAGCATCACAGGACACAGCTCAGTGAGCCCCACATCACTCAAAACAACTCTATTACTCTTCGTTCGCCTTCCCGGGTCGCGTCGTGATCAGTGCGTCAGTTTTCTTTTCGAACAGAACAGAGGAGCGAAGGAATAACCCTTCTTTTTTTTTTTTTTTTTTTAAATTTCCGATTCCCGTGGTGTTGGCTGATGACTGCCATTGTTGGATGCTGTTGGTGCTGCCTTTTTACGAACACTTGGATCGCATAGCTGTAAAGGTCATCACCCCCCCTCTCCACTCCTGCGACTAGGACTATGTCACTTTGTTCGCTCTCTCCTCTGTTATCAATCTCGCGTCTTTTCTCTCTTCCGTTTTTTCGAGCTCTACTCCTTAGTCCTTGCTTCTTACTTCCATTTTGAATAAAGCTTCTTACTTCCGTTTTTCGATCTCTCTTCCGTTATCAATCTCACGTCTTCTCTCTCTCTCTCGATCATGGCTCGGATTGCGAAGGTTTGTGCATTCCATCGCGAGGGAAACGAATGGTACGTCTTTTTTTTTATCCTTTCGCTATCACATCCATCTATCTATGCTTGAAGCTCTGGGTTGTTTTATATCGATAAAGTCTTTCAAGTTTTTTTTTTTTTTTGAATTAAACATACTACTTTGAGTTCCATGGAGGATTCTGTTCTGGGATCTCTCTAGCTTGCTGACCTCCTAAGTTCTGGATGAATTGGATGATTAATTGGAGCTTCCAGCTCTATTTCTCTAATTAAGAGAGAAAAAAGGGAATTTATTAGTTACAAACCAAGGTCTTAAAATTTTTACCTTGTAGTTGAGTTATTGCAATGCAAAACTGCCTGGGCTTAATATAAAAAATTGTGTTCTTTCCCTGTTCACCGAAAAAAAAGTGGAGTAATATAGAGGATCTTAATCCAAGTATTTTGATTTTTTTTTTTTAAGTTTGAGAAGAGTATATGATTCATATGAATAATGTTTGGCTTTTGCTGTATGCCAGGTTTTGTAATGCTGGTCTACCAAGTGATATTACTGTTGAAGTAGATGGTATATGCTTCCATCTCCATAAGGTATGCTTTTGTTTTTTTATTTGTTGTATTCAAGGAAAGAAGATGTATTTTTTTGTTTATTGTTTGTTTTGGACTGACTTGTTGTAATTATAGAAAATGTTGGAATGCAATAAATGCTTAGTTTAAATTCCTAGAATTTTTTTTCATGAACGTTGCTTTGTACTTTCTAATAAGTTTGATGATCTAAAATGGCTTATTTCTTTATGTAAAAAGTTGACAGAAATATGAGAGAAAGGACTTTGTATGATCCAAATCTTGTTTGGGTGAAACTGGTTTTTATGACTTTTAACTTTGGTGGAATATCATAACCAGTGGTTGGTAAGGGATAGGGTAACAATAGAAATTATGAGATGGAATCCAGAGTACGATGATGGTGGAGATTTATGCAAGTGAAGTGGTTCTTGGTCTAGATTTATGCAACTTTATGATAGTATGTGGTTTGGCCATTTGAAATCCCTATGGCCATTTGTTTCAGATTGAAATCTGAACCACATTATGTTACCAGAGGGGGAGGAAAGGTGGTAATGGGAAGGAAAGTGTAAGCCCATATTATAGATAAATAAATAGATGGAGAGGACCAAAGAGTTTCAGAGAGATGACATCTTAAACTGTATGGTGTGTGGTTTGGCCATCTGAGATCCCTATGAGACAGGCAACCCAATTCCAATGGAAGATGCATGACATGGTACTTCCTTGGCATCTTCCTGTTAGGAAGCACTGTTACTCTTAGCATGGGTGTTACAGTGATTTAAAAGGCGCCTAGGTGCACAGGCGAGGCGCATTTTGGGGTATGCACCTCGCCCAGGTCCTAGGTGCACCTCTTTCAAAAGGCGCGCGCCTGGTGCGCCTAGGCGTGCGCCTGATGCGCCTTGCGCCTCAGCCCAGGCGTGCGCCTTTTTAAAATTTTGCGCTTTTTGCTTTTTTTGAGTCTAACGGCTGCCCCGGACCCCCGACCACGCCCCTTGAGGCAAGCTCGAACAATTGTTCATTCATTCATTGCAATAAAATATCTTCTTAAAAGGCAATGAAAGTTGTAAAATCATTATTTTTTATGTAAGAAATAAGAATTTCAGACCCTAACATAGACTTACTTGTTCAGGCTTGCTTCGAGGGGTGTGCTACAAAGGCGACTCATAGAATAGAAAATGCAATATGTTTTACATCACATTAACTACTTGAAGCAATGCAATTAAGGAAAAAAAGAGATTGTGGGTTTTACATGCTTGAAAATGCTTTATATGTTTGCTTTTATTTTTAAATTTTCATTTGAATACACTTTACATGTCATGTTTATGTATTTTAATTTTAGATAGTAGGTTTTTTAAATCATTTATTTTAAAATTTAAGTTTATATTTTTATTAACATTATGGTTAATATTTTTTGCATTTTTTAAAATTTTTTGGCATTTTTTTTGGAATTTTCTGATTTTTTCTTTATTTTTTTTTGTAATTTTGCGCCTTTCTTAAAAAGGCACACGCCTCACCTTGCCCCAATCAATTATAGTTTTAGTCCTGTGGCTGTAGTATATATTATTAGTTATTACAGTAACTGGTAGGAACTTGGTCCAATCAATTATAGTTTTATTCCTGTGGCTGTAGTATACCTCATTTTCCTGTGTGATATATTTAATCTCCATGCCTTCATTATTAGGCTATTAAAGGATACCTTGATACCCACTGTTAAGTGTTCATAATAATTGCGATTTCTTTTTGTATGAATATTAAAGGATAACTGACATTATCCTGATTAAGTACTTTCAACAGAAATACTGAGCAACAGAATATAATCTGTATCTTGTCTTGCTTTAGTTTAATATGAAGACTCTTTTTGTGGCCTAAAAATAAGCTGTATGTGCATGTTCAGTTTCCTCTTGTGTCAAAGTGTGGGAAGATTGCAAAACTATTAGAAGAATCTCAGAATAAGCATGAGCATACTTTCTACACCACTTTAAGTGAATTTCCTGGTGGACCTGACATGTTTTTGGCTGCTGCCAAATTCTGCTATGGGGCCAGGGTGGAATTGACACCAAGGAACATAGTGATGTTGTATTATGCAGCAGATTATCTTGAAATGACAGAGGAATATGGAGATGAAAACTTATTACCCAAGTGTGATAGTTTCTTCCACAAGAATGTCCTTCATAACTGGAAAGATTGTATTCTGGCTCTTCAAAGTTCTGATCCCGCTATTTTAGGAGCTGAAAAGCTACAAGTTTTGAGCAAATCCCTGAATTCTCTATCTATGATGGCTTGTACAGATCCAAGTCTGTTTGGATGGCCCATGATGATGTATGGTACCTTACAGAGCCCTGGTGGAAGCATCCTTTGGAATGGTATCAACACTGGGGCAAGAATCAGAAGCTCAGAGTCTGACTGGTGGTTTGAAGATGTCTCGTACTTCAGTGTGCCTTTGTTTGAGAAACTTATTGAAACAATGAAAGCAAGAGGCATGAGACCTGAAAATCTAGCTGGTGCAATTATATATTATGCAAGAAAGTATCTACCAGGTCTCAGCCGATGGCAAAGTGGACAAAGCGGGAAAAGTAGAACTGTTGCAAGTTTTAGCATGATTCCTGCCACCGTTGATCAGAGGGATCTACTGGAAAGCATTGAAAAATTGCTTCCTGACAAGAAGGGGAAATCGTTTTGCCGTTTCTTGTTGGGGCTTCTACGGGTTGCAATGATACTTGATGTTAGTCAATCATGCAAGGACTCCTTGGAGAGGAGAGTGGGCATGCAATTAGATCTAGCAACCCTAGATGGTCTTCTAATTCCCACTTATGCAGATTCTGATACTTTATACAACACTGATTGCGTAGAACGGATTATCCAGCATTTTTTGTCGTCAGATTCAAATATAACATGGTTTTCTCCATCATCTTTTGACCTAGAAACATCACCGTTATCAGGTCCACTAAGAAAGGTTTCAAAACTGGTAGACAGCTATATTGCAGAGGTTGCTGCTGACGTAAACTTGAAACCTGATAAAATACGGTCTCTTGTGGAGGCTCTTCCAGAATCTTCAAGGTCCTTGCATGATGGACTATATCGAGCATTGGATATCTATTTTAAGGTTTGAATCTACTCTTCGTTCTTAACTGAAGCAAGATTATCAACTGTTTTCTCCTTTATTAAAAAGGTTCTTATACTGTTTACTGTTTTTAAAAGGTGGTGAGGCATATACCTCAAGGTAAGGTGAGGCTATTGCCTCTCCTAAACAGCTTCACATATGTTTTGAGGCCCATGCCTCAAACAGTGGCATATACCTCACATTTTTTGCCTCAACGATTGGTTCTATTCATGTTGATTATTTTACCACTCTTCTCAATGCTGAATCACTAATAAGTTTTGACTCCTGATTAAAATAGTCTTGGTAACTTCATGTACAATATTCTTTATTATTAAAGTACTCTTAGCATCTCATTATATACATTAGCCAGCCTGTGCGTGTGAAACCAGGCTGGATTTTAAACAGTTGCTTTGTTAGGAGTACAAGGTCATGGACACTTCAGCCACTGTCTTATAGCTGTTTTGCAGGCACACCCTTGGCTTTCAGACAATCAGAAGGAGCAACTCTGCAGCATGATTGACTACCAGAAGCTCTCAATTGATGCATGTGCACACGCATCTCAAAATGAGCGCTTGCCACTTAGAGTCATTCTTCAAGTCCTGTTCTTTGAGCAGTTACAATTGAGAACTGCCCTTGCTGGTTGTCTCCATGTCTTGGACAATGAAAGTGCTCCTGCAGGCCCTGCTACTGAAGACATGGCAAGCCAGATTGTGCAAAGAAATGGATGGGTTACAGTTGTCCGTGAGAATCAAGTTTTGAGAGTTGACATGGAGAAGACGAGGGCCAAGGTTGGAGAGCTTGAGCAAGAATTTGGGAGAATAAAGCAAGAGATGCAAAGGGTGGCTAAATCGTGCAGCTCTCTCAGTTCCCCTCATTTGGTGGCAAAGGGAATTGGATGCAAGCGTCTAGAACGATCATCAGATGCACAAACAGAAATGATTGAAAGTGTGATTCCTAGCCCAGTGGCATCTGTTGAGCACTCACGACCTTCTGACAATTTAAGACACCGCAAAAGCTTCTCTTTATTCTGATTAAAGGAACACTAAAAGACCAAGTTGTATGTTGATTCTTTAGAGATTTTTATGGTGTGAATACTTAAAGGTGGGAAGATGTGAAGAAATTATTATTTACTGTGCAGCAGAAAGGCAAAACCGATGGAGTTGGGAACTGTTTTTTGGTGCTTGAGTAATTCTCTGTGCTGAAATGTTGATTTGGCCATCCTAGTGAATGTTCCTGCCTTCTTTGGTTGATCAGGAGAGCATGTAACCTATCCAGATAAAAATTATGGATCGAGTGTTTTGTTCATCAAATCTCCAAGCCCCAATATATATGATATGCATGGATCACATGTAGTAGGGTCAACTTTCCACTTGATGCAAGGATTCTTCTAAATCTTCTTAGAATGGAGCCTGCAAAGATGAGCTATGTTACTATATTAGAGAACACGCTCATTTCTGGACAGCATGATAAATTGTGAGGTTTTGCTGTCCATTGGTGAGCGTCAACTATATCCAGATGAATTATCACATTATGATGGGGCTTAGTGCAAAAATAACAGTAAAATTGTAATTGCTACAGGTATACAAGTGATTGATTTATAATACATTGGTATACAGCCTTATGAAACAAGATAATGCTTCAGAATTATTGGGGGTCAGGAAAAGATGTTAGACTCCCTTTATTTTAAAGTTTAAACTAGATTGCATGACCATTCTTCATAATTATTTCCTTTTCTGTGCTTTTTATTTATTTATTTTTTCTGATGCAAAAGGGGGGGGGGGGTTAAGGAATGTCGGAATGTGGTCTCCTCTCATCATCAACGATGATCCATCCGAATGTGGGAAGTGGGACAAGGACTATTTTGAACTTGAGCTCTTCTAGCCAACAGGTCTGCAGCTTTCTTTTGAGATATACATGAAGGTAATATCTATGAATTCCTAATGGAGCCTTCAAATATCCCTTATAAGGCTGTCGATCATCCAAGGAACCATGGCTTTCCTGTTGATGTTGTTGATGACCACATTCAAATCTCTTTCAGTCCATGCTTTGTTGAATCTGTGATGGTTGTGCCTTCTAGGTCCGGGCTTTTTGCTTCAAATTAGTTGGCCAAGTTGATATCCCACAATGACAGCGAAGGGAGTTCCTCCACTGCCTCTAACTGATGAATCAAAGTTTGACTTTCATTTGGTTGGTTGAGGTGAAACTCTCATTGAACCCAGTTCACCTGGTTTGCAGTTCTGTATTTGTATTTGCACTCTTCCCAAATGGAGCCTAATAGAATTGATGTCATTTGCTGAAAGAAAGAAAGAAGGGCTAAAGAAGCCTTCTCAATGATGTTATAAGGAGATTTTTTCTATTCCTTTCATACCTGGTCATTATTCTTCCACAGGTACAGTAGTAAGAAAGCAGTTTTCTCTTTTAGTCCATTTTTCTCTGTATTGCTAGCCATATGACAATTTCAGATAACAATAAGGATTTCAATATCCTTATCAGATCCCACTAAAAAAGATAAGTAATCAAAGCATGGTGTGATGGCAGATTTAAATTTTGTATTTTATTTTCATTGTTAATAAAAATACTTATTATTTATCAAATTGTTTAATATGATAAATGTATTATATTAGAGATGTGCACCAATTTTATGGACAAAATTTTGTGTTTTCTATATTTTTTTTATTTGTATCTATTTTTTTTTGAGTTTCTATTATATAAGTATGACATCATGTGTTTGACCTATTTGACTTGAAAGAAAAAATTATCTCATTTTTGGGCATCTTTAAATTTTTTATTCCATTTCTATAATTAATTCTAAAAATAATTATTGTTTATCATCCTTATCCTTGTCCAATATGATAAATATATAATATCTTAGATGTGTCAAAATTCTATATAAATTTTATGTAATTTTATTATTTAATTATGACATAATTGATTGACTCATTTTACCCAAAAAATTGGACCTTTATGGTGCCAAGTCAAATAGGTTGGACCGAGTTTAAATTCAACCCAAGCCCAACCCTATGCATTAGGTCTAAGGCTTAAAACCAAAGTCAGGCATGATTTGTCCAACCTGGGCCCAACTTGCATTGAAATTTGATGCACTTGGATCATGTTCTTCCTTGGGTTTGTTAATCAACCTTATGACAAAATTTGACATAAATGTATGTGTATAATTGTATACAGGTATAAGGGCACATGCATGGTAAAGAGGAAAGATATAGGTTAGCATTGTATAATTAAATTTAATTTTTATGACCTACACCAAAACCAAGTCAAGTATATGCTTTATGTAATAATAGATGCATGCATATATGCAAATATGTGTATATAAGTATATAGTCAGGCCTGACTTGGGCTACATAAGGGCTAGGCTTGGGCCCAACCCAAAAAATAAAAGCATGAACTTGCTAGGCCTAGTTCTAGCTCGAGGATTGAAAATCCTAGCGGATTTGCCTAAAATTGTGAGTTGGATTGGTCCAGACTTGAGTTAAATTTGCCATATTTGAATCCATATGGACCATTGATGATTAGATGTAAAACGAATTTCTTTTTAAGTCAGTTTACCTTTTTATTTTATTTCCATCATTAAAAAAAGTTAACTCTTATTTATCACACTTATTTTTATTTAATAAGATGAAAATACAATATTAAAGATACAATCAAATGTTTTTACAACATTTCTATATTTTTAATAGGTTAATAGGTTTTTGTGTCTCTATCCTTTTTAAAATTTCTATTACTTAATTATGAAATCATGCCTTAACCCGTTTCGGTCAAACTATTAACCCACCACTTGAATAGTATAATGGTTTTGCTTTACAGTCAATTTTAAATCTTGTATCTCATTTCCATCATTTTATAAAAGTACAAATTATTTATCATCTTACTGTTGTTTAATACAATAAATATATAATACTAGAGATGTATAAAATTTTGTAATTTTTGTAATATTTATATGTTTATCTATTTTTAAATTTTTATTTTTAACTACGAAACCATTGGCTGAGCCATTTAATGCGGATGGTTGAACTACTTACTTTCCACCCAAACAAAAAGGTAGTTTATTTTTCATGTTGGTTTTAAACATTGGTTTTATATTATTAAAAATATTGGATATATATTAATTATTAGAATTTATTGGTGAGAAACATAGATACTTCCAACAAAACATCTAATGATAGAGAATGAGAATTAACACCTTAATGGCAAGGAATTGAATGAAATGGAGAGTAATAGTATTTAAATTACAGTTTTTGCCCACACAATTAGAGAGGGACCAAATTTGTAAGAACTAAGAAGAGGTGTTTTGGTTTAGAAAAGTCCACAAAATGCATCTATTTGATGAGATGGAATGAATTCCTTAAATATAGGACTTAATGAGAGGGAATATAATGAATTTAATAAAACTATTAGTAAGGACATTTGAATAGAAAAATCCATAATTGAGACCTAATTTACACTTTCATTAGTAGTATAGATGTTATGGTCTCGCGCATAGGATCTCGTCACGGGTTGGTCCACGGAGCGAAAACCCTGCTTTTCCTTGCGCCTTGTCCTTGCGGGCAGACCCTATTGCGGAAACTGAATGGGTGATTTGTCCAAGAGACCACCCGAACTCTCCTCACTCTTTTCTTGACTGGAAAATTGAATGCTTTACTTCAATTCGTAGCTCCTTAAATAGGAGATTACAGAAGGAAATTCATAATTAAACTCAAACTCCAACTTGAACTCGAACTCCTAATTACCTACTCCTATTGGTAACACACTCTTACTTAAGATAAGATAAAGATAAGGATAAGATAAGATGAGGGATAAGGGATAAGATAAGGATAAGATAAGTTGGCGGCGAGTTGGCTTGACGTGTCCAGATAAG